ATTTCTTTAGCCACCCATATGAAAGTTCTTTTGAGTAATAAAAATAGAGAGAAAAGTAATTCAGATAATTCATTAACAGATAACAGAAAATTCATTAACAAATAAGCTATTTATCAATAACATAAACTATAAAGCTGGTTACAGCCATTCAGCTGGTACCACATAGATGTCACCTGATTTAGCTGTATTTTTAGCACAATTTTCTATAGATAACTGATTTTATCAGTGGCGCTTTGTGTTCTTTATGTAAGGTAATAACAGTAGTGGTTCAAGATCAAGATACACAAGGTTAGCATACTATGGACTAGGCTTTTAGAGGCTTTGGCAAGATATTTCATTCATTTGCAGAGTAGATAGGTATTCAAATTGTGGGCAAATCAGGCCCACTGACATTGGAGATTGTGGATCTGCCATGATTAGCTTTTTTCTCTGCCAAGAAATTTAGAAAGGAAAACAGAAGCCACTGCTCAGCCATTTTCTGTGACAACTAGAAGTGGGAAGAGATTTAGACATTTTACATGCTATATATAGCATTTTTTATTTCCTTCTTTAGTTTATGAACTTTGCCACACCTTTTGGGAGAACAATGGGCTGCAAAATATGTCTGCACGTCACATTTAAAAAATGCATATGAAAAAGCCTTGTCAGTGCTGCTTCCTGTATTCAGGAAGGTGTGGTTAAACAACAGATTGCATACCTTACTTTAAGCAGCTGAGAGGTCTTCCCCAGGAATGGCAACCTGCAATAGCAATAGGAAATATAAACTGGGCTGAAAAAAGTTAATCTGTAAAACACAACATAATCCCTTGGGCATTCTGCTATGTCGCATCAGATTTACTGAAATGTTGTACTCACTTTAACAGTAACATAATCTTTTGAAAGTGGCTTTACCTTGAAAGTGACTTTAACTTGTTATTCATGTGCACAACAGCTGTTGCTACCTGATATTACAAAATTACTTTTCTCTATATATATTTTAATTACTCAAGTTATAAAATTCTGAAAAATGCAATATAAGAAGAATTCCATATGTCATACCCAAATATTAATTTAGACATTGATGAGACCAATATCTGTATATTATAGTAAAAGGGCTGTGCCACTATTCTCTCTTCAGTGAATATTTAGAGAGTACAAAAGCTGTAGCAATTGTGTTCCCTCCCATGAAAAATATAACTTGGTGGTTAAAGTAGTCTGCTGGTAAAGATGGGCTGCTGTCAAAATGAGAAATTCTTTGAACTTGAGGTTAGAAACAGGTTAAATGACTTTTCCCATTGGTAGGCTGTTGTTTTTTCATTGTGTCCTTTGAAAGGATTAGACATGCTTGGAGATGAGCCTTGCATGTGGATTAAGCAGACGAATTCTGACTTTTTGAGCACCAAGGGAGGAATAAAATTCTTAAAAATGGCTCTCAGGTACTTGGCACTGTGAGTAGCTGCCCTTTGCAAGGCTGCCGAGGACATTTCTTATATATCTTTGAATTCACACCTTAATATGAACTAGGATGCCATGGAGAAAGGGAGTTTCCATCTGTAGTTTGTTTTTATTTTGAGATGTCTGTCTAGGAGCAGGACCAGAATCTTCAAGGGAAAGTTACAGAAATCCTATAGGAGTAACCTGCCCATGGAGAAAAAAATAATCATACTCCTTATTTCTCCCTCTCTTCTCTGTTGCAGTGATGAATGCTGCTGAGGGTTCACACAACCATTTCTTGTCCGGTTCTGAGTCATATGTACCTCTTAGTAAGGGTGTACCCACAGGCAAGATGTTCCCTTGGGTAATTATTTTGACCAGGGGTGAAAAGTACCTCTGTACATAGAGGTAGCACAAGTCCAAGCATCCCCTTATTTTATGTAGGGCTGGACTGAGAATTAAGGGAGGAGCAGTCCTGTGTTAGTCACTTTCAAAAGGAAGGTGTCACCCTATGCTTGAGCACCACTTCCTTTTCTGTGTTAATTAGTATTATATTGGCTGCACTGGGTTCTTTTTTCCTTAAATGACCCTTCTCCTTTTAACTTAACCTGATAGAACTGCTGCCTACTTATACAGGTGATCTTAGACCAGGCTTAAGCAAGAAAAATGTGTGGATGGCACAGATGTGCAACCCACCTCCCAGATAATAGTTACATTAACTAGCTGTGTCTGCCTGCTAAATGCTGTCTGGAAGCTGGCCATCATCCATTGCCAACACCTACCTATATGTTTTAGAGTGCTTGGTTTTAGTCATTTTTACCATGAGTTGTGTTGAACACAATTCACTTTGGAAAAATCAGATCCAATGAGTAAGACCATACTAGTTAACTAAGTAGGGGTAGGGCCTGGGCTTGAGCAATAGCCTCTGTTTGTCCATCCCACTATAATGCACAGTGCTTGACACAGTTTTGTTCCTGCCAATTAGTTATCTCTGAAAAAACCCTTGTACGTGGATCTCTCCTATTAGAAAGCGTGACTGTTTCCAATAGGACCATTGATGAGGCCATGTGGTTCTTTTTGGAAAGTAAGTTTAGTGTATCGATACAAACCATGCTGTCTCTTGTTGTCTGGGACTGGGCTTTGGGATGTTTAACTTAATAGGATAAATGTAGCTATTTTACCTGTTATCTTGAAACTAAAAAAACTTAAACATCACTTGCTAGAATATCTTAAAATCTTTTGGAAGGACAGTTATAATAATAGCATCTTATAACCCAGAAAACAATAGTTTATCAATCACACTTGGGAAGTCTAAAGTATTAAAGGACTTCTCTTTTGGAGGACTGAGTATATGACAAAAAAAAAATGCATTCACTAATGTATTCCTCCTTTTCTGGGAGGAGCCAGAGAATGGTATTTGTCCAGAAAGTTGTCTGCTGGGTCATTGCGCATTCCCATCTATCTCTTGTGAATCTACATAAATGCTCAATAAGGATGCGGCGGTAGTGTAATATTTTGAAGTATGTTTTGTACTTAAAAATGTAAATTAAATTTAGTAACACTGAATAAGCTATTCAAATCTAAATGATGGCATTTCTGAACCAGTTATGTTCTCTTTCCTGCCAGTGCTCTGTTTTAAAATTCAGCATCCCCTACTTGCAGTTTCTTAGGAGGCATTTTAAGAATTCTTTGGATGACCAATAAGCCTACGCTATTTAAAATGAGCTTGTTAGGAATGGCCTCCAAAATATGCTAGAGTTCTAAGTAGCAAGAGATAGTGACCTCTGATTACTAATCAGTAATGTGTCCCTACTGCTTGTTATTAATGAATCTAAAAGAGAAGTTTTTGTAAGGAGGAATTCTAAGACATTTCTTGTTTTCTCTCATAAATCATATCAAACCATGCACTCTGCTAATGTAAATCAAGCTGTCAGAATGATTTTGGAGTAGTTATATCCCATTATATCAGCTTCAGATGTGGCCTTTTATGTTTGTATATTTTTCACAGAAGTTCCTCTTTGTTCTTGAGAGAATGGCAGGAAGAAGCAGAGTATGTAGCCAACTCTCAACAAGCAGATTATAGAGGCATCATGGTTATAGGTAGGTATGAAATGAGTTACTGTTGTTACTGTTTGAACTAAAAAAAAAAATTCCTTCAGCTCTGATAAATCAATAGTAAAGCATGGCCCAGCGTGGTGATTAGGTTAATTACATCCTTTGGTTAGAAATCACTGGTTGTCAATACAGAGGCACATACTCACTTCTACTTTTTGCATTGCTTTTTTGACACTGCTAAAAAATCTGTGTCCAGAATACTGTATGTGCTTCAACTGGGGAATAAGGGAGACATAATTCAAATTCTGATATGGGCTAACAAATTAAATTAAGCTAATTCCCACTGTGCATTTCTCATGAAGAAAGACATCTGTTTCATTTGCGAGGCATGTGTGTCACAGTTGTAAAATTGTAGCATGTCTGTAAAGAGATGCATTCACAACATTTTCTTCTTGATCATAAAAAGATAAACATGTAAAAATGTGTACCTGAACATGCCAGAAACACAGAAGTGAGATGTATGAAGTTCAGAAATATTTGCTTGCTTGTATTCATTAATTCTGAAGTGTGTGGTAGTTAGTAGTTTATACTTGGTATTGTCTTGCCTGCTGCTCTGCTTCATCAGCTCTGTTTCATCAGATATAACCAATGTTTAGACAACTTGATGCTATTAAGTACCAAGCCTATGAAGATGTAACCATCAACAAAAGCAAGGACTAGAAACATGGCTAAAGAGAAACTAAGTTAACTTGTGTCAGTTTTCTTCACTTTCACAAAAGACAATAGGACCAAAGGTTACCCACCATATTGCATAATGGCATCTCACATATTTAATTACAAAAGCTCTCCAGATACAAAATAAGTGAGGGCTTGTATAAAACACATTCAACAGATTCTGTATCTTAAACAGAACCATAGGGTTGTATATAGCATTCCTATAAGGAAGTTATTGATTCCCTGCCGTTGTCTTTGTTTATAGTAAGGCACTTAGCCTACAGAGAAATGTATTGCAGTCATTTTAAAGAAAGGAAAGAAAAGAGAAGGTAGTCTCTTCTCCCTTTTCTGTTTATTACTGCCTGTGCTGAAGGAGAATGTAGATGGGCACAGATAAGAGAGACTTACAACAGAATCTCGTGTGGGAGAGTTTCCCTCTCCAGATCTTTTGTCTCTGCCCACATACTCGAACAGTGCAAATGCTTAATGCATATTGGATTCCAGTGTGTGTGACACTTCTGCAGATTTTCCTTTGATGAAATATAGTGTTTCTTCATGCTCACCTGCATAAAATACCTGAAACCCGTTGGCTGAGGGTCAGCCCCTGTAACTCTGCAATGTACATTTCTGTGGGAAATCCAAATGACTGCAGCATATTTTTCCAAATAGTAATTGCTTGGGTTTTTTGTTTCAAGGTCTGAAAGCATTTCATTTTGTGAAACCCAGCCCTACTGCACTTGAAAAGTACAGCAAGCACAGAAGTGTAACAACTCACCTGTACTTTTAATTGATCTGGTATTTCTACAAGGTGCCACCCTTTTCCACACCTCCTACCTCCTCCTTAAGTGACTCAGCCTCTGAAGGAGAAACCTCTTGACTTTTCAGACAGCTGGATGGGGAAGGACAATTCAGCTCTCTGTCTGCCCTGACTGTACCTCATTTTCAGGTATCTACAGGTTGACTTACCATACTGAGCCACTCTAGGACACTAACTTCTGGGTAAGGACATTTACTTTTCTGGGTTTATATTCCATGCATGGAAAGTCCTACATTTTCAGGTGTTCTGTAATTTCTTAGTGTCCAATTTATGATCCTGTTTCAAAGAATCTTATTTTCAAGAAGTGTGGAGAACTTGACTATGAAAATTCAACTCTCAAAGTGTTTCATTTTAGGTTCATTTCAGATTCCTTGGACATTTCTGACATATTCTCTTGGCCATATTATCTTAATTACTTCATTATTTACATTATATTGCTAATTATATTTTACTCTAATGCTATTTCCCTGCTGACCAGCTTTCTGCTCAGACCACTTTTTACGAATGGCTGTTTTAATGTATTTTTTGCACTCTCCTTAGTTTTATTGTTTCTTTAGAATTCTTATCTAAAATTAAAAAGCATTAAAACCTCATTTATTTGAATTTGCTTCACATGTATAATTTTAGAAAAAAATTTGCAACAGTTTGTTTTCATTTCCACCTTAGCAAAAGAGACAGCAAAAGTACCCATTCTCCTGTGATACAATAAAATTCCTTTACATGACGTGAACTCATTTATAAGTAGGAAGGATTCTTTACTAAAAATCTAGAAAAGTGAAAGAGTTGAAAAAAAAAAACCAACCCCAACCAAAAACCCGATTAAAATTATCATCCCCCCTTCTACAATCCATTAAAAAAAAAAAAAAAGAATCAATTTTCAATTTAAACTGATCACATATTACTAATTTGAAAACATGTACAAATTTAGGTTTTGGCTTAGCAGCTGATTTTACATTTAATGATACTACCAAAGCTTAATTTCTTTCAAAACAGAATCTCCTCCACCCACATCCTGAAAAACCAGTTTTGAGAGCTCTTTCAGCTACAAATAGATGATCTCTGCCACACATTCATGTATTCTCTAGTCCTACCTTGCCTCTTCTAACCTTGCCTGTTTTCTCTTTCACTCACATACACATTATTTCTATTCTCTGTGAGAGCTGTTATTAACTCTGTGACCTAAACTGTAAAGTACTTATTTAAACACAATATATTATTTCCAGAAGTTTGCAAATGTATTAAATGGCTACTGCCCACACATGCAGCTCCTGGAAAAAAAAAAAAAATCATTCTAGGAACACATTTTTGTTGTTCTTTAATGTCTGCAAAATAAATGTAATTATTTTTACCTGTAGTTTTCAGCAAAAGGACAAAAAGACTAGCTAATAACCAAAAAAAGAGAATAATGTTACTTACAATTTTGAAGCATATAAATTATACTCAAGTGGGTTTTTTTTAAGCTCTGTGTACACACTTGGTACTATGCTGAGTTAGCAACACCATTGTTCTTTCTATTTCATGTCCTGGCCTACAGTCTTGAGTGACAGCACTGGATACTGGTGACAATTTTGTAGGGGAAAATGTACAGCCCAGTTTATACATGCAGAACTGCACCTGACAAAGTGGGACTTAAAGGTTGACTGACTGAAATAGTAAGTTGGAAAGTATGAAGGATGGTACAGCCTTGACTGGCTCTAACTGTGATGGTGATTTGGAAAACAATCTGCAATCAAGATTTACAGCCACATTTGGAAATAGGAATTCTTATTTGAGATGAAGTATAGGTAGCCCAGTCACAGCACTTCTGATATCTGAGGGGAAAAATGACAGATGTAGAGATCAGCAAAATTGATATTGACTTCCAAACCAGGAAGATTTCACTCACAGACTTATGAAGGCCTATCTAGAAGGACAACTGTAATGATGTGTCTCCTCAGTGCCTTTTTTCTAAGGCCTGGAGATCTTTACCCTGTAACAAGTTAGAATGACTTCAATCATTTTCTTGCTCACACATCTTACTATATTCAAGAACAATGATGAAGAAAATAACAAAATTTGCTGACCTGACATGAAAGTTGTTAACTAAAGGCAAGGAATTACTATTAGTGTACTTCATAACTGTGATTAAGTAAGATCAAATGTGTTTTTTTTTTAAATGCCCTATTCTCCACATTCATCTCATATAAATTAAAACAAACCAGGTAGTATAAGTTTAATATTAACCATTACAATAGGGGAGACAATAAACACAAACCAACCAACAAACAGTAAAGGTGAAGCAAACCTTCATATTATTTGTTCACCAATAGTTATTCTATCCAAAATTTCTCCTGGACCACAGTAAAAGCAAGCAAATGGGTTAAAGCACAAAGAATGTGGGAAATTGATTTCCTAATATTTTATTAGATTTCCAATGTGATAATTTTAAAATTTTGAGCTCTGATTACTCCCAAGATACTGAATGTTTAGCTTACTTCTGAGCAGAACATCCCTTAAAATATTACGTTTTGGTGGAAGGTTTCCCATTTGGGATGAATAAAGTTTCTTTCTCATATGGCAGATATTAGATATTTTTGAAAATCAGTCAGCAATCTGTGGCTGTGTAGAGCCATGTATAAGACACCTGCTGGCGTTTAATGTGGACATGCCAAACTCAGTATCTTTTCTACCATCCAATGCAGCATGAGCAGCTGGAAGACAGGAAAATTCTGAGGCTATTTTGCTTAAAACTAGTTGTTTGTCCGTAACTTTTTGTGTCACTCAGTTCATTAATAAGGAAGCTTGATATTTTAGGCATTCACATTTGACAATGTTTTAGATTAAAAACTTCAGTATAAAAACAAATGTTTTGACTTTTATGAGAAGATTCACCTCCCTTGACATTCCCTCACTACTCGTGTTGAGTTACTTTATATATAGGGTGGTAATATGTGGTACCTCTAAGCTGTGGAAAGATATTATTAGAAGCAAAATACATATTTATAAACAAGGTTTTAATCACTGTCAGCTAGAAATCAAAGAACAAAGACTTTTTTGGTTGTAACTAGTTCAGTCTGATGTGGAGAACATGATTCTTACAGGAAATCTTTCTGTTATTCTTATGTATTTTTTTAAATACAGCAATGCATACATGTGAAACCTAACTATGTAGAAAGCTACAGCCAAGAACAGAAGAAAGAAGGCAGGAGGACTCTGTATTGGAAGGATGGGTGTGTTCACACGAGCTGAAAACTAGTAGGTCTAGCTTTGAGAATCTAAGACAGGCCTGAGGTCTTCAGCTGGTCAGTCACTACAAGAGGTGGAAAGGAGATACAGAAATGTGAATATGGTTATTCATGATAAAATCAGAACTGGAGACCTGTGCTGCTTTCTGAATAACTAGCTACCAGCTTGGAAGGGCATTTGACCTTCCCTGAAGTCACGTCTGAAGTTTTTTCTGGATTTCTTTGGGACTGAATTTGGATTTCCCACAAAATGAGAGAGGGTCTGAATCCAGGACTGGCATGTCTTAAAACTTTTGGGGACCTGCTCATTGGACTGGCTGGGGCAGTGTTAATTTTCTTTTAAAGCTTCCCGACGTTGTTTTTAAATTCAAATTATGCTGGAGCTGCATTCCTGTTTGTTTTTGTTTTGCATTCCAGCTGAGTTGTTTCGCTTCAGTGGTTGAGCTCTTATTAAGTATGCCTGAACATAATTTACTACTATAGTATACTATAGAAGCCTATAACTTCTCTGTCTTGCAATTTCATTTACAAAGTCCAAAACAACCTTTTTATTTTTAAATCTCCTTTGAACCATGATCTAAAGATAAGCAGTTCATTGACCTGTTTGAATAATGTGGTGGTTCCAGATCTTTATGAGCCCTAAGTTTTTAAACTCATGTGATCCTCACATCTTCTGTCCATTCCCCTTTCCACATACACAGATACACACACTTAATACACAATAGTGAAGACCAAGAAAAAAAAATGCTTTGATGAATTGTATTCTTCCTCTTTATGCAAGATTCTTTTCAGTTCAAGATCCTGAAATTTAAATCTTACTCTGATGATTCTTGATTATCTGCGCTAGAGATTAAAGTAGGAAAATTTTTTTTAATTTATGTTTTAAATTTGAATGGCTTAATCTTTGATATACAACTTGAAAGTCTGGAAGCAAGAAGTAAACCTTGAGGACAATGTGGCAGTATTATGTAGGACTAAAATTTCAGAATACGTGGCACATTTTCAATGCTGACTGTAGAAGGGAGTGTGCCTGTTTCTTATATTCATTTATGCAGACTACTTTCAAGCTGCCAGACTAAGTAGTAGTTTATGCTGGATGCTGTACATATGTGCAGCAGAAATATTGTTTTGCCCTAAAAACATTTTAAAAAATTAATACAGGACCGGAGGCAAAACACAGTTTTAATTAAATGATGGAGGATAAAAGAAACGTGCTTGCTGGACTTTCTTTTGACATGCATGGATACAAGCAGGAATTGTGTCATTAATATATTTGTAGTTATTCTGTTGATTTTAAAGACAAGCCTCAAAATGTATGGACTTTTTACTTTGGTGATAATTTCTATTTCAGAGCAAATGTCTAAGGCTCTCTTGTTTAATTTTAGCAAAGGTGTGTGGTACATCCTTGCCTGTTCTGTGAGAAATTGTTTCCATCAGGAATCTGTGGAAAGGAAGGCGATAGTATAAGATGAAGTCTACGTAGCAGTTTCTTCTCATTTTTAGTGAGAAATATTTGAGTTGCGAAATGTGTATTTTTAACAAGATTTTCTAAGACTTAGAATGATGACATTTGGTTTAATTTCCACAAAAAGTGGCTCCATTTTCTATGATTCACTTCCCTTGGGAAATGGCTTTAAAAGTTTTTATTAGAAAAAAATTCCTTCTTCTTCTCTAGATGAAAAAGTCACAGCACTCACTGCCTGTGAAACGTGCTGAAATGTCAAGCTTCATATTGTCATGGGACTGACTGAAATAAGAACCAGTATCAGATGTCCAGCTGTTGTTAAGCTGAAAACATAAATAAATCAGAGTCCTCTCTATCATCTTGTGACATTTCAGGAAAATTTATCACAAGATTGATTAGTATTTAAAAATGATTGCTTTGATAACCTACCTGAATGGTTTCTAGGAAATGCAGAGCATAGCTGCTCAAAACCTTATACCAGTCACTTTGAAAGATATTTTATGACCTATTGCAAAATAAATAAGGCTCATCATAGCCCTGAGTATACTTTTATTCCGTGGAAACAAGATCCAGCAGTCACATGTTTTCTACACACACCGTGCCGATGCATGCTTGATACAAACAACTTAGTTTTAAAGAAAGGAGTGTGGTCAGAGTCTTCCAATCAACAGTCCAGAATTTTAAACTCTCACAAACATCTGGAATTTCACGACTGGGTACGATATATGCAGACTTTTGGACTTCAGCATTATTTTTGTATTTATATCTTTACTTTCTAAAAAGATCTGTATTTCTTTACATCCATATTGGTTTCCTACTTTCTTTGCTTGGTAATGATAAACTTTTTTTAGGAATTGTCTGGCAGTAAAAACATAAAAAAGACAAATCTGTTCCAAGTGCAATTCATTGTGTGTAAATCATAGTTTTATATGGTTTATTGACGGTGTTACTTTTGGTATTTTTGCTAAGTTTTTTTGCCAAAATTAAACATCATTTTTCACCTTCCATCAGTAAAGAAACAGCTACAGGCTCTCAATCCACTCTATTTTAAGTGAGTGAGCAATACTCTCTATGTCTGCAAAACAAGCAGGACAGCTATGTCACTGAGAGAACCGGGAATGTTTCTGGCTTTTAATGACTGCTTCTATCACAAAATAAGTTTTCCAGTGCTTCTGTAAATTTTAAGCAGCCTGACCTGTGAAGCTGGTTGGGAGCTTCCCAGCTTAACCTTGTTTTCTTGGAAAATGCTGCTTTTCAAAAAGGAATTCACTTGCTAGGAGGGTCAGTTTGCCCACATTCTTCAACGTTAGGGTTGGTTTTGCTTTTTTTTTTTTTTTTTGACTTAAGGGAGAATTTTTTGTCATTGAAATGTCGTTACATTCTGCTTGTTGCTTTCTCTAGGAAAGCTGATGTTGAAAATCCAGTTTCAAAGCATAACATGAAATCCTTTGAGTGGCTCAACCCCCAAATAATTATTTTATTTTTTTTTTAAATCAGTCAGTCTTGGAGGCTCAGTTTTTGACCTGATTTGAGATAAGGAAGAAGTCAGTGACTGGAAAACTGCTGCAGTGCAGAACCACTTCTGTCCCGGACCCCCCCATTAGCTGCAGGCCATGGAAGCTGTGAGACCTGTCAGCAGGGCTGGGTGAGCCCATGTTAGCTTGAGGCACTGCTCTGAGCCACAAGCTAATACCATCTTCCCATGAAGCTAATCAACTCACCCCAATCTTCATTACTTTGTCTTGCCCTCCAAAGGCTATTACCACCCCGCATGTTCTCAGACAAGGAGCTCCTGGCAAGGCAAAGGAGGGAGAGGCAGCGTGACGGTCAGAAACACAGGGCAAGGATACACATAGTCATCACCAGGGAGAGAAAGGCCACTTCTGTGCCTGAGCTTCAGTTCAAAGAGGTCGGCAGCTGGTGCTAAGTCATTTTGCTATTAGACTAAACTTGCACGAGGAGGTGATCAGCATGGCAAATGAATTTAAAGTGTCTTTGAGGATGATTTCTAATCTCACTGCCAACTCTTCTTTTTTTTTGTTGTTGTTTGTTTTTTGTCATGTTTTCTCTTAGATTTCCACAGAAGGACACCCCGCTGAAAAAAATGTCAGCTTTCAGCATACGAAAACAGGCTCCTCACAAAAGCGGTAATACTGGGTCTTCTTTATTTTCTGCTCTTAGGGTACTTACAGACTGAGGCATGGTCTCTCTCCTTTCCAAGCATTGCCATGCTCATCATGCAGCTCCGTCACAGGACATACCAACACTGTTAAGCTGTGATGGGCTGGTTATCAGGTTCACACCAGGACCTACTTCAGCCGCAAAGCTAGCAGTGATGTTTGTAAGGTTTCACTGCAGAGATTCAGGCTAAATCACCATGCTGGGCAGTGTAGTGTGCTGGAGCAGGGGAGCCAGGCAGTGTGGTGCAAGACAGTGGTTCCCTCCACTGAGCCCTGTGGTTGCTTTGGAGATCCCACAGGAGCATGGCAGCTTGGAAGGCAGTGGACAGATGGTCTCGGCATCGTCCCATTGTCTCACTTGGGGAAAATGAGGAGAAATCAATGAAAATTAGAAGAGAAGGAGGGGAGAAAAATGTTATTTAATCATTGTCAGATAGATAGAATTGTTTGTTCCTTTTGAGGGACGAAACTTGAGGAGGGCTGGAGTTTGCTTTCTATGCAGAGAAATGTCAAGAAACAAACTGGAAATGCGATGAAATTTTCCATTTCCCTGGAACCTGCAAAATACTTTTAAAGACTGAAAGGGTTTGAGGTACATGAAGACATGGTTTGAGTGGGACATGCCAAACCTAAGTGCAGCAAAATGCATGCAGCCACGGTGGGAAGTAGCTTGGCTCTACAATGCTAAGGACATAAACTTCATATTGTCAAGATAAGAAAGATAAGATCCATCTGCCTCTGCTCATGTGACCTGAACTGTTGTATCAGATCTATATTTAGTTTTTTAATTGAAACTTGGGAGGCAATTCATTAGACCAAAAATTAGTACTCTTCAGCAAACCCAAAGCCTCATGCATTAGCAAATTGCTTCTGATGTTTCTTGAAAATAAAACACAATATATATTCCTTGGCTGCTGCCTTTATAGGAGAATTTCCTAATTGCACTAAGCAATTAAGAAAGCCATAATTTCTCTGAAATCCAAGTGATTTTTTGTGTAAGAGATAATAGTTTTCCCAAACTGTTATTGGAAAAAAGCTAATATTGTATATGCAAGTTTAATTGTAATAGTTAGATATATACTGAGTACTTCTTGATTATATAGAAATTCTTCTATTATGTTTGTGTCATTGAAGAATTTTTCTTCAAGACTCAGAGGAGGTTATGCCTGACAATAGAACACAGATTAAAATGTATTATGGACAGTAGAAAGCATCTGGCTAAAACTGTTAGTTTGGAAGATATGCTGGAAACATTTCCACCCCTTTAGCTGCCATCAGCTGTCCTCACCATAGAGAAGTTTTATCTCTGGAATGCATATGCTTGAACTCACATTTTTTCCTACTTTCCAAAATTAACTTTTTTTATTATTATTTTCAATCCAAATGATTGTACCAAACATAAAATACCAAAATATTTATGAGAATAGGAAGGTACAGGTTTTAATATTGGATTTTCATTCAAATCCTTGATTACTGAATGTTACAAAGTTGGTGGTTTTCTTTCTATCAATATATCGAGCTCCTGTTATATCCTGACATTGCTAGTATTATCATTATATTCAAAACAGTAAATATTTAGAGCAAATGCACTTAAATTAGTCTTGTTTGCTAGTTACAGCTATCTCAGTTCTTGACAGTGACTATGAAACAATGCTATTGTTTAAATCAGTGGAGGTACTTCTTTTCAGTTTGCTTATGTAGGTAGATATTTTAATGAGCCACAGGAGCTATTCAAGTGAGGCTGGGATGTCTTCATTTTTTTGAAGTCTTTAAAGTCAGATTTTAATAAATATTTTTAAGAGAAAAGCTAGGTCAATTGTCAGGGAACAGGCTGATGCAGAAATCATGCAGTAAGGATAGATGACTTTTTGTTCTTAATCTATCGTGATTGTCAGCACATTCTTACAAATCTCATCTATGATGTGCCTTTCATTTCTTAATGGCCTCAAAGGGCTGCATCTATACTGCTCATAAAAGAAAGCCAAACATCGGCATCAGGGCCTAGAGACAGAAACACACATTCGTGTTATCACAGCCATGCTTCTTAATGTTTGTCACTTCTCTAGCAGCTCAGTCTAACACAAGAAGAGCCAGAGAACATTTGCAGCTGCACAAACATGAATGAGGAGTCCAATCCTTTAGTTTGTTCACTGTCCTTCTTTTACTGTCAGTATAGATATATCTACAATGAATTGCAACAGATAAGAGCAGACACAGTTTGGGTTACAGTGAGATATACATTTAGACTGAATTTTACCTTTGCACTGCAGAGTTTTGCTTTCAGGAGAAAAATGTATTTAGAAAAGTCAGTCTGGACCATTGTCAGTCAAAATGATTTTTTTGTGCTTCATTATAATTTGGTTTTCCACTCACTGTAGCTATTTGTCATCTTTTCATGTTAGTACTACAGCTGAAGTTCTTATATTAAAAGCAAGAGCTACATTTTCTTATAAATTACAGCAGAAACACAGCTATGACAAACGATCTAATACTGAATGTGTTTTCTGTGTGGTCTTTCTATCCACAATCTTTATGGTCAAGTGTCCTTACTGGACACCAGATAGTGATATCTCCAAAAAATCTGATGGTGTTAAGCTCCTTTTGTGTGAACACTCAGGGAATGAGGAACTCTTGGAGGAAATCATGGAGGTCTCTAAAGGAAAATCCAAGAAACTCAGTATTCTTCATCAGTCAGTTCGTTGATTAATTGGATGTTATTGACAAAGGTTTTGCATATTTAGTTTTTCAAGTTCTTTTCTCTGGGAGGGTGTGGAGCAAATATCATAATCTAAAGATGGATTTTCTATTTGGGCTCAATTTCTAGTCTTCCATTTTAAAGGGGAAAGTTAAAACATCACATCAAGGAAGAAGTTCTTTACTGTGAGGGTAGTGAGGCACTGGAACAGGTTGGCCAAGGAAGTTGTGAATGCTTCATCCCTGGCAGTGTTCAAGGCCAGGCTGGACAGAGTCTTGGTTGACGTGGTCTAGTGTGTGGTGTCCCTGCCCATGGCAGGGGGGTTGGAACTTGATGATCTTAAGGTCATTTCCAACTCTATTCTATGATTCTAACAATATTGCCCCTCACTTCAAATAGGCTGATGATACAAAACTTAGGTGGGAAGAAAACGAACTGAGGATATTGGACAAGTCACTGAATTTGAGATAAACATTAACTTTCTAATACAGTGAGGAAGTTATAGTCTCACAAATCAAATTATCATTGTATTGATACTCAACATACTAAATATCAGCATTGTTGGACAAAGATATTTTAGGTTGCTTTCAAAAGTAAATAAGGCTTCCATGTTCACACAGTGTGTAAGTGTATATGGGAGTTCCTCCCAATAACGTGAAACCATACACCCATTTTAGTTAAATTTGACATAAAGTTATAGGTCTTAAATGTATTGTTTTTACTAAAAGTTCAGTAAAACTAGGTAGCTGGTTAGAAAATGAACTGTTCATTCAGGCACTGAGGAAAAAGCTTCAGAAGGAGCATGACCCCTCTAAGAAACCTGAAAATACACACACACTGAGCTGTGGATGTAGGTGGAGGACCACGTCATCATCTCAAGATTAGCTTTGCTTTGAAATTTGCATCCTGTCACACATCTGCATGTTCAAAATCCACAAGCAATGCCTCAGGAAACAGTATTCATTAGTTTGACTTTCCTGGAATTATTTTTCTCTGTGTATTTCATAATCAATTTATCAGATTTGTGATATTTCTTTACATTAAAATTATATGAAGCTGTTTCATATTAAGGACGAAACTGAATTTAGTTTTGCAAATAAGTTTGAAGTGACTAAACCACAAACTTTCAAAGCAAATTGTGTGCACTAAACAGGAATGACAGCTGAAGAGTCAAACTCTGATAAACATTTACATATTTCAGCCTTTCTAATAGTACATTAAGTTTCCAAAGTTATTCCATACGTTCCTTTTCAAGACATGTTTCTCTGCATTTGCAGATAATAAGAGCCCCTCTGTTGCAATTAAAAGCAGACAACAGGCTACTCATGATAGTAACAAACGACGGACCCTTTTGCAAGATAGCAGCTGGATAAAGAAGAGACCTGAAGAGGAAAAGTAAGAAAGATATGAAATATATTTCTTGTGCTTTTAGTTCAGTATGCCATGTACATTTTCTTGGAGTGTCTACTTTTTCATGAATGGTATCAACAGGAATTACATTAATTTAATCAAATAACTAGTATTTGCTTTTCGTGATGAGGTATTGATTGCCTTTTGGAAGTAGTTTGTTGGATTTTCACTGTGTTTTTCATTGAGACTTTTGAGTGCTGATCATTTAATGAAAGGCTTCTGCTCTACAAGAAAAATCCCACATTTCATATATCTAGGTTGCAGGACTAATATCTAACATTTTCCTTTTACAAGCATGAAGATTATAAATCTTGGCAAGTTCTTTTAAGGAGCTTAAACCAGGATCAGTTGAAATTCACTCTAATACACACTAGGACTTCCATTACAGTAAAAACTCCACCATGAGAGCAGGCTTCCATTATTCGGCCCATGAACAGCATGTAGGAAGAGATTATTCTTACTCCAAAATGTCTGGAATCATCTAATGCAGAGATCTGTAGCTGGTGTGATTATAGTAGTAGCAGACAGCTGTGAAATGTGATTGAGGACAGAAATGTTTTGCCAAGAAACAATTTTCTATTTAATATTCAAATTTTAACTAACTACTGTCTTTCTTTTGCTTGAAGTGCTGATGAAAACTATGGAAGGGCTGTGCTTAACCAGTACAAATCTCAAGATAGCCTACACAGGTACAGTAGAGAATCTGCACACCTTTCTAATGATATTGTCAAAGAAAACCGAGTGTCCTTTTACTATATCCTGTTTATAGTTCAATTTTAGTCTATGCATCTTTCCCCCATAAATCTGACTCCAATGTCAAGAACTGTTAGGTTGATCATTGCAATTCATGCAGGGTTGGATGTGTTGACACCTGGTGGTCTGAAATAATGTATAATATCTTGAGACTTGTATATTGGTTTTTTTTTGTGATGAGTTGTTTAATAAAAACAGTAACCAAAGTGGCATTTCTAATCTTCTTTATTGCAGTGCCACAAATGAAAAGGAAGATCAGAAAGCTGTACTTGGACGTTACAGGTCTGATACTACCCTGGACAGGTAGGGATTTTTTCTGTATATATTGTAGTTTGTTATTCTCATACCTGTGCAGAGGTCTTAAAAATGAAAGCATGAATTAAATCAGTGGGGTTTTAAAATTTTGTTATTTATTAAGCACCTAAGACAATGATTTTTCTTCATGATTTGCCAATGAGACAAATGGAAATGTGATTAGAGAAAAGGTTCTTTTGACATATAGCTCTTCTTCTCTATCAATTTCTGTGCATTCTTGTCCTCATAAAAGTAAGTATCTCTGCATCGATGAAAACCACTCATCCCATTTCCTGCTTTCAAATTATATGTCGCAGTCCTTTCTCTGATAGTTAAGCACAACACAGCTAAACCTCTAGTTCTTTGCAAATCCTTACTGCGGCTTCATACCATGATCAGTACAAATATCAAATATGCTTAACATACAGGCGCTTAATTTGAATGTCTTCTTCAGTCTTCACCTCTGTTAAGACATGACCATGCTTGTGTTTGCAGATTCTTTCTGCATTGCATCTTCAAAATTCAGCCTACATTAACATCCAGTATCCACAACATGCAGAGGCCATGAGTAACAGCACTTTAGTATACACTGTGGGAAAAGTGCACTTGTTTAGTTGGATCATAGCACTGTGTTATTTTGTTTGATGATCTTTACTTCTGCTGTAAGAAACAATGAAAAACTGTTATGTAACATTTACCTTCCCCATAGAAGCCTGGAACAGAATAGGCTATGCAGCTGTGTGATATCACCCCTCTGTTGATTCTTCTGTAGGCTGCTGAATCCTGCTGCATTTGTTCACTCATCAGGAGGAAACCATCCTAACTTCAATTTACCTACTGTCCTTCTTTGTATCTTGTTATTTCCATATTAGTGTTTTTGATCTGGGGGTCCAAATCTCCATGCAGGTATTTAAGATGGGCACACACCTTGTATATGTACAATGGCTTCTGGTCCATTTTCTGCTCCTTCCCTCATACTTCATAATATTGAATTTGCTCTTTTGAGTGATGCTGAGAATTATCTTTCACTTTTATAGCATTCTGTATATAATTCCAAGGCCTCTTTCTTGAATGATAATAGCTGGTTCAGAGATCAACTGCTTTTCTTGGCAGGCATTACTTTGCATCTAAGAAAAGTGAATGCTACCTGCCATTTTAGTAATCTGACGTGTTAGAAGATGACTTCTGAAAAACTTGCCAGTCTGCATTTGTTTTGACTACCATGAATCCGTGTCACTGGCAAGCAACATCACCTTCTCTTCTAGATAATTTATGAACATATGGAAAAACACAAGTCTTATACAGATCACTCCTTCCAGTCTCAAAAAATGTCATTTACCTTAAACCTTTTTTTCCTACGCAGTTACTTATCCTCAAAAGGACCTTCTCTATTATCACATAGGAGATCACTTTGTTGAAGAGACCCTAAAGCAAATTTCTATGAAGTTATTGGAAATTCAATTAGAATATGTCAGCTCTGTCGTTCTTATCTTATTTTCGTTGACTTCAAATATATATTTAAGGCTTGATTTTCATGCATAGAAACCCCGATTGCTAATTAAGAAGTCATAGACAATTCCAGTTTCTACAGTGTCACTGAACCACATTGTCCTTTTGTACCTATCTATGTCTTTTTGTTTTATGCCAAGATAGTAATATGTCTGAATTATTTTAGGTAGTAAGCTGATTGTCTTTATGTTTTCATATACACAAATATCTAGCATAAAGGGCTCTTAATGTGCAAAAGATGACAGAGAATACAAAGAGGATTATAGGCGTGAATATACACTTCTGATAACTAATGCAGAATATGTCCATAAATTGAGTGAATAATGATGGTTTTACCTGAAATGTTCACAATAAGGAAGTTTATTTTTCCTTACTCATTACTGGTCTTCTCAAAACTGTGGAATATAACCATTCCAGGATTAATTTGTACACACCCATTGCCAGCAGGCATTTCTGTAACGGATGCATCTCCTCAAACTTGCAGCCTAATGCATTACAAGGTGTGGTGATGTATTATCTCTTAACACGTTTTTGTACCCTGCAGTCCAATTTGGTACTCCTGCTTCCTCTACGAAGGATGTTTTCCATTGGGCAAAATTCCCTTTTCTTTAAAATTATTTTCTGGCAAGCATAACCATGGTACAGAAGTCTCCAAGCTTGCATGAACTTTGCAGGACTTAGTTGTTTAGTTGTCTGTATAAAAAAGAAACATTCTTTTTTTATTATTTCCTTTTCAAAACTAAAAGGCAGAGTTGAAAAAAGAGCATGTTTCTGGGAGGTAGGATAAAGTCTGAAAAAGCTTTTAGTCTGATAAAGCTTTTAGTAGACAGTTCTTGAGAAAAATTACGTTGGTACTGGAGATCTCTTGGAGCTGTTTATAGAATTCTAGTAAGTCATGTTGTCTATGTGGAAAATTATTTTGTCTATCATCTAAGATGCTGTAAAATGTTAGTCTTCTGTACTTTAGGAGAAGGCCTTTAGGAGTTACCTGTTTGCAAGGTAAATATTGGAATATTTTTTCACAGTTCTGCTCTGCATCTCTTCTGGCCATGACCGTAATATTCCAAAAGACAAGGATTTAAAGAGTCTGGATCTCTGTCTGGATGAATGTCTCTTCAATAGCTAGTTTTCAAAATGAAAATGGTCATTGAAATTCTAATTAAAAAAAGTAATTTAAGGAGTATAGAAGTAATTTTGAGTTCATTGTGTGTGTAAATGTGACAGTGGAAACATCTAGGAGCTATATTAAGTACAGTTTTCTGAGTCCTGGAGACTGCCGTGTTGATATTCAAAAATAGCATTGTTTGATATGATATTTTCTTAACCCAGTATCTACAAAATTTAAACATCACTTTCAGTATTAAGGACCTGGGAGAGTTATTGCAGATGACTACATGAAATTGCACCATTGGCTGCAAGCACAAGAAAATACCAAGAGCTGTTAAGTTACTAGCAGAACTCCATAGCTTGATGACAGTAGGTACACATATGCTTGTACTGGCATGCAGATCTACACATCATAACTCAGACAACAGTTGCATTTTACAGGTAATCACAGGTAGCCTTCTGGATGGAAGGAACAATCACATTTATCCTTTTATTTCTCTCATACTATTAACAACTAAGCATTTGACAAAAGATGGGAGAAATATTAAAATAATATAGAGACAATGAAAATTTCATTACTGTTTTTCCAAGTACTACTGAGTCCAGAATAGCTTCCAGGAAGAATAAATCCTAACTGCAATTACAGCAATTAAATCTGAAGAGATGGGACTGAAGCAAATGAGACACTTTCATTCTCTTCTTTATTAATAATCTAACCCTTTGAAACCACTGTTCAGTCGTGGTATGAACCCCTTTTGCACATCTTGAACACTGCATGCAGCCTTTCACTTATGTGAAGAAATTATAACAGAACCAGAAAAAAAAGTTAAGAGGAAGGTGAAAAAGAATGATGACTAGGATGGAATATCTTTCATATATGGAATGTCTGAAGAGACAAAAGTTTCCTTAACTTGGAAAAGAGTGACATAGTGAGTAAGGAGGGGATATTTTCTGTTTGCTGCACTGTGAGAATGAGGAGATACTCTATAAAATGTTTAAGTAATAACTAAAAGCAAAACAAAACAAAACAAAACAAAAAACAACAAGAAAAGGAAGAAACAAAGCAGAGCATTTGTTTTTCCCTAAACACGTAGATTAATTGTAAGAGTCAACACCACCCTATCTTCTGGATGCCAGAAATTTAAATTGGTTCAGGAAAACATTAGATGAGTGAATGGATCAGTGATCCAAAGGTGTCTGGAAACAGCATTCTGGGTGCAAGCAGAGGATATTCTTCAACCACTGCTTATCAGAAGCTGAAAAGGAGAACATTATACTTACATTTCTTCTTTCACTTTTTTCAAAGCCTCTGTTACAATTAAGCAGCACTGGAGTAGCAAGCCAGATGGACCCTTCAAGTCTTTAAAATGAGCAAATACAGAATTGCTTAAAGCACTGTGCTGAAATTCTGAAAACACAAAATTAAGCATGAAAGAAATGGTGGTTCATCGGTTGGCCGTGAATTAGAACTAACACTCATGTTTGCATCTGCAGCAATGCTATAGCAAGTTTAGTGGGACCTCTAGTGATCTTTCGAGTAACTGTAACTGCTGGCCACAGCCACAAGCTGCCCGTGACATGATAGTTATCTGTCCAATTAAAATTAGATTTGAAAAAGGCACAGAGCATAAGCTGGTACAAATTGTGTCAGAGCTCCGTTGAAGACTTTCCATTAAATACAACGGTATTCTGTGATACTTGTCTGAGGGCAGGATGCAAAATGTTAGAGTTCTGGGATTAATTATTTTGTATCTATAGCTTCAGTTTATAGATGGAGATAACTAAAATTAAGTAATTTCTATATGTAAATAAATTGTAAACTTATTTATTTAAATTTCTGTATATAAATCAGTTGTTTTAACCAAATATTCAACATAACATAATCTATTTCAATGTACATCACTTTATATTTGACCTTTAAAGAGTCCTACTGTTCTTATTAAAGGGTATTCTATAGAAGAGAACAAAGTTGAAATAAAATAAATGCTTAAGCTGTTTCAGCTATGGTAGCTACATGGTGATTTCTGTGAAAATTTGGGATTTACACAACAGCTGTAGAATCTATAAAGGGCTTGAAAAATCATGTGGTAGTTTCTAAGAGTAAATTTCATGGCTTAATGAAAGTAATTCAAGCACAAATAATCTTACTTCTTGCTAGATGTTATCGCTGTAGGTCACTACCATGCTTTGTTAGGGATTTTACACCAGAGTATTGTCAAAAAATGTTGATCTCTAAAAGCTGTAAAAAAAAATCAGACTGTTGCATCTCTCTAGGGATGGTGAGGGAGAGGGGAAGGGAATAGTTTGTGCTACTTGATGGAACATTGCTTTGTTCGTATTCTGGTCTAATTCAAAGGAGTTGCAATAAACTGTTAACAACAAGGAGGCTTGATATAGTACATCAATTAGTGTTTGAACATCACCTTTTAAAACATTTTTTTTCAGTGAGCTACTTAAACTCTTCAGATATTAATGAACTAAATTTATATTAATTCAGAATCTGCTCTAGTCTTTTTTTGATACTGGGGAATTTTTAATTTGTGCAGAGGGCAAAAAAAATCTCCATCATTTAACATTACTGGAAGTGGGGTTTTGGTTGTTTTTTTTTTTCATATCTAGAGTGTGTATTATAAATAATTTCTCTGTTTCTGACAGAATTCCAGACAAAAGTGACACTGATAAAATAAATAAGTCCCCAACTCTGAATAATAAGGAAAGCAACAGGTATGATTTTTGGAAACGTAATCATCTATGTATTATGTATCATAAAATATTATGGAACATTTATCATGTGTTATCACATAAGTATTATAAAATATCATAACTTTTGATTATGTGGACATGCCAAGAATATATAGAGGCATTACTTGTATTCCTTATGGCCAAACAGTGGGCTTAATTCCAGCACCTGACATCTGAAATGCTGAGTTCTATGTCTGGGTTATCATAGACCTTTTTTGTAGCCAATGAGGAGAAAAAGGGTCTTTTGAAGGACAATTCATCTGATGTCTCTCAGATATTTTCTTTAGAAGAACTTACCTTTAAAATGCCTATTTCTCCACATAGATTAAGAAAGGGACTACCTCAGGTTACACATTCACTCAGAAAAGCAATTATTTAAGAAACACAGTGTTTTAGATACAAAACCAGAATGAGTAAGAGAGTTTTGAAAACAGTTCAGTGAAGACATATTCTTGAGCTCTACATTTCTCTGCATGAATTCTACCAAACGTAACAGGTATTGCTGAGGAAAGACTGCACAAAAGAATTGCAATTAATGTTTCCAGTTGAAAAAAACATTGAACATTGCCAATAGGAAACCTGAGTACCAAAACACAAGAAATGCTTTTTTCATAGACAAGGTAACTGATTTTTCCAGTGGAAGGCTTTTCTTTTGTCAGAAGGTCAGTCTTTTGTTTAAAACAAGGCAAAACCAAGTTTTAATTTAAAATAACCTTTTTTTTAACAATTTTTTTACATGTTATTCAAATAAGTTGCTGTCATGCAGAGATAAACACTTTCTATATCTGACTACGCAGCACTAAAGATTTATTTTCTTAAGGATTTACAGTTCTTACCTGATTGAAATTTTTATTTAAAAAATGGAAGTCAGAAGAGCTCAGCCACTATACTTACAAATGTAAAGGGACAAATATTTCACTGTCAGTACTGTTCCATCAATAATAAATTACAATGAATATAAATGCCAGTGACGGCTGAGCATAGCAATTAAATGTCATCCTGTGAAGTGCTGAGATATTACTCTGAAGAGCAAATGAGTATCCCTGGCATTTAAAGTTCAAGCGAGATCATTCTTTTAAATTATGATTTGACACCATTATGTTGTAAATCATGGTGATGATGACACATGAAACATCATAGAAATTGGATTTTATCTTATTTTGTCTAGAGATGATTTTTTAATAGACCTACCATGAACTCTGAAGTGGGACTTCAGTGAGACTTAAGTAGTATATTTTTTTTCCTGTCAAAGAGCAATAAAATAGTCTGTAAAGCTCTGTTCTTCTGTTACTCTCGTTACATTAAGAATTACACAGGAGAAGACAATAACTTTTTGACTTTTTTTTCATTCACAATGATACAATTATTTAAGAATTAATTATGTTTCCCTAACAGACAATCTTGGACTTCTAATGCAGCACCCACAAACACTGCTGTGACTTCTCCAATCAAGAAAAAAAGGTATTTGTTACCAGCATTGCTTGGTTGCCAGAGAATATATAGCACTCTATGAAACCTCAGTAGCATGTCACAATTACATAAAAAGAGCATTACCAACTTTCTCCTCTAGCATGCTCTAACTCCTCAGCAAGCTTCTAGAATGAAACTTTTACATGCTCTGGCTTTTTCCATGGGAGTAGTGTGCTGAAAGTTAATCTCTGTAGAGCCAGTTTTGTGAGCCTGGTGGACCATAGCACAACAGACGCTGTCACTTTGCTGCAGCCCCTAACTCAGCTACATATGCCTTTTCAGTGTCTAAATTTAAAGCATTCTAGCTCACTGTAATTGCAAAATCTGATGCCAAACTTAAACCTGTGCTGTTTGAGCACATATGAACCACGCGGTTTTCTGTATGATGAACAGCTAGCTTTAAAAGTCTGGATTTCTTTGGGCAAGAAAAAAAAGCAGGGTTTAGAACAAAGAAAGAACTACGTTTTTGATTTAAAATGTATTGCTGACAATGGCTATATTTTTATGTGTCCTTCCCGGGCATAAATTCTGTCTTTTTTGTGATTTCCATACTTCGTGTATAAAAATAGTGATTGGTAGAATTCTGGAAGTAGAAATTAAAATATCATAATTTTCATATTGACAGCTTTGCTTGTTTGGTAGAAGTTTATGGTGTTTTCAGCCCCATAGTTCTCTTCAGGCTCTTTGAAGATATGAAAAGCCATCACTGAATTGCAGTGTTTATGGTGCAATTGCTTTTCCCTCACAGATAGTTGCTGGATTAATAGTTTTGATTAAAAAAAAAAAGTGAAAGTGCTTGTAATGGTTATGTGACCTCTAATATCAGCCTGAATGTGTTTCTTGGGCTGATACTTGACACTGTTTCCTTTGTGCATTCTGTCTGTTTGTCCTTCACATGAATGATCCATTTATTTATACCATTCAGATGGCAGGTAAACCAACCTAGAGTCAGAGAACACATTTTTTCACAAAAATAATTAAAATTACTATATTATTTCTAATTCCACTCAGTTGTCTGGGGAAAAAACAAAAACAAAAAAAAACCACAACAAAACAAACCAATAAAGTGGTCTAAGAAGTATCTGCGTTCAGAATCTCAAAATACTAATAATTTAAGAAAAGTTCCAGGTATTTCTACATCACTTTTGACATTCTAACATTCATAGGACGCTGTTCAGCCCCACAGCATTAAATTAATACTAAAAAAAATATTTCTTAACACTGACAGGCAATCTTGGATGCCTCCTCCAGTTTCAAGTAGTAAAACCACAACAGAAACATTGGAAACCAAAAGGTAAGTGCTCATGATGGCTAGTTATTTCCTAATTCTTGGCTAAAGCTGATCTGGGGAGTGAGCCAACAGGGCAATTATTGAGGGACTGAGTTTGATAAAATGGCATGGGCTCTTAGCAGCTTGATGTCTAGCATTGACTGAGGGCTGAGCATTATGAAGAGCCAGTTCCTCCTCTACTCTCAATTCAGAGAAGACTGAAAGACAGGCATGTTCACTCTCAAGATTTCATGGCCCTTCCTGGGTTGTCTAGCAATGATGTCACCAAGCACAGTTGGTTAAACAGAAATGAGCATTAGAAGATTTCTTTGCTTATCTTTGTAAAGTGCTTTGAACATGTGAAAGCTGTTTCAAACTGTGAATATTACTATAACTAATAATTGTTAGACTTTTACTCACCAGTGAGATTCAGGAAACAAAGATGCATAGATGCTAATAACCAGTTTTTAAAGGTCACTATCAGTCTTAAAGACAGGTGTAGCAAAGAGCTGTGTCTGTTCTTGAAATATGAGAACGGCTGATTGTTCTGCCATCCTCAGGAAGGGAGTTCAACAATCATAGGTTCAGGGGAGAGAGGATTGGTCAGTGTTTATATTTACTTACCTTTTCTGATTCTGATACCTATAGTGTATCTTCTATAGTGAAGTATGACATGTAAACTTTTAAAGTGCTTTGCCTCATTTCCAAGCTGATTAAGCACACTTTACAGAGCACTTAAAAGAAACTGCAACTGAAGCTAAAAATATAAGCATCTCACTGTAACTGAGTTTTTTGGTTGTGAATTGTGTGCTGAAAGAAACCCACCATCGACCAGAGTGAATGACTGGAGAATGTTAATTGAAGAATGATTGTCTTAATAACATACAAAGAATATTATTGAGTATTATGCTACTTGAGTTGAAAGCGTTATGTTCCACATTAAGAAACAAAGCAAAATGCCACCTTGAAGGACAAAAAAGTAAAATTAATTGCTGTTGATTAATCTAAAATCTTGCAAAGAAGTGTTTCAATACTAGCATTTTGTTACTTGGTTTCTGAACTGTTTACTCTTTTCTTTCTCTAGGACCACTTCAGAAAATTCAGAGGCTCCAACAACGTATGTCTTGCTTATTTTGCTTCTTAGTAGATTTATAAATGCAACACATTCACATGCACAAACCTTGATTATCATTTTACATTTATTTATAATACAAAGAATGAATAATTTACCTGGGAGGGTTCCTCTATAGTTAGTACCTCAGAATTGTATTAAGACTTCCTCCCTTGCAGAAATTTAATTATTTTCTCTTTGCTTAGAACACTGGCTATTTATTCAAATTGAAAAATCAACTGTAACTGCATTAAAAATTAAAAACTGCTTCACAGGTTTAGTTCCACAATTGTATATGTTGCTAATGCAAATGTCCCTTTATATTGAACTATGCTCTAAACAGAGAGTTAAAAAGAGTGTGAGGAATGTGAAGAAAAAGAAAGTGGTAAATTAAAAATCTCTGCACATGCAAAGACTTGTAATAGAAGGCATTGACATAAGATGAATTGGCATGAAGTACTCTAAAATTATTTGAGTGTCTGCAAAGATTGCTCTAATTTTAGAAAATAGATTTATTAAATTAATTTATTAATTAAATATGCATTTCAGATGGTCTACATTAGGAAAAGATTATTTAACCAACCTGCTATTTCATTACTTATAATTAAGGCAGCTACACAATTTCTCATGCTTTAGTTGCCATCCAAGTAAAAAAATTCTCTAAAGCAGCGTGTAACTCTCCTTTCCAATTCTATTGGCCACCTTCTTAAAATTATTGCAATTTCTTATAATTCTAGTATTCCTGTAGTGACTGATCTGACTGATTACACAAACAAGTTAAAGTGGGAAAATGAAGTTGGTTAGTTATTTAGTTTCAAAAAAAAAAAAATACTTTGCTAAATAAGTAAATTATTAGTCTTTACTGAATAAGTAAAGTCTATTTAGTAGAAAAGTATTTTAAAGTTCCTTTATTAGCAAAATAATTTTGAAACAGTAAAGAACTCCACTTCATTACACCCATACTAGCAAAACAGCTAGTCTTGGAATACTAATTTTTCAAAAGGCTCAGTAAATGGAGCAATCAACTGTACTGAAACATTACTTAGGTCTTTATAGATATGTATATATTCTTTACATGCATACATATATCATTCCTTATATATATGTTATAGAAATTTGTATGTTATAGAATCATAGAATAGTTTGAGTTGGAAAGGATCTTCAGATCATCTAGTTTCAACACCCATGTCATGGGCAGGGACACCTCACCCTGAATCATATCACCCAAGGCTCTGTCCAGCCTGGCCTTGAGAACTGCCAGGGATGGGGCATTTACCACTTCTTCGGGCAATGTGTTCCAGTGCCTCATCACCCTCACAGTAAAGAACTTCTTCATTATATCTAACCTGAACTTTCCCTGTTTTAGTTTGAACCCCTTCCCCCTTGTCCTATCACTACAGTCCCTGATGAAGAGTCCCTCTCCAGCATCCTTGTAGAGCCCATTCAAATACTGGAGGGCTGCCTCCATGCAGCCTTCTCTTCTCCAGGCTGAAGAGCCCAAACTTTCTCATTTTTAAAGAAAACAACAGACAAACGTTTCTCAAAGAAAATCCAAAGTCACTGTAGTGACAAATATAAGAAATAGAATATCAACAATAAGTCACTTAAATGCTATAATATGTTTCCAAATACCTTCTTCTGCCTTGAATATGTTTCCACCATTCCTATTGCAGGTATGCCTTTTCATCAGAACAGGTGACCCCTCAGAAATCCAAGACTGAGGTGAATGATCAAGCTACAGCAAGGTAACACAAGCAAATACAATCAAAACAATATTTTGATAAAAATTGAAAAATGAGATATTAAGTACCCAATCTGTTTGATTTCCATATTTGATGACTCGTTTGGACATAGAATGTGATAAACACAGCATTTATCTAGTCCTAGAAGCACAAACTTTGAGTTCCATCTTATTGACTAGCTAAGTTACTGCAAATGTCTCATTTTTTATTCTTTCAGTCAGTCTAGCCTGCATCTTAAAGAGCAGCGTATAGATAGTTGCTGCAACTGTTTAGAAAAAGATGAACTGCAGTAGCATGGCTTATATAGTATATTTTCTTTGGTCTTCAATATTGTGGGAGAGGTAATATCTACACATGACTATGTATATAAAAAAAAAACACAAACCCAACTTGTGCGTTAACATTTTAAATAGTAAAACCCCAACATATAACAGTTACTGTGACAAAATTAGTATGTTTAAACAGATGGACTTGTGGTATGAATTAGATGGCGTATGTACTAATGTATCTTGTAAAGGCTACAGAACACCATGAAAACTATTGCTGAAAAAAACATAGAAGGTTTTTGTTTCATTTGGTTTGGTTTGTTGGCTTTTGTTGTTTGGTTGGGTTTTTTTAACTGAAATTCCAGCAAATTGTAAGTTTCTGTATTGATGGAGATGTTATATTTTTCAAACCAATCAGCAACAACCATGAGAAAAATTTGACTGTGTCCTTGACCAGAACAAAATGCCTGCATATGCAATTAGTAAGTGAGTGAACTAGAAGTAGATTTCTAGACATGGACTGAGAATTACAGCAGCTCATTTTGCAGTTTTTAACTGGTATTATTAAATGGTGCAAAGACTAAAATCAGTTTAAATGAGCTAATTCTACTTAATTCTATTCATAAAGTACAGTTTTGTGAGGTCTGAAGCCACAGTCTGTGTTATTTTGTATTGTACCCCTCTCCTCCAAAGACCCCAGTATGTAAAACCTGTACAAAACATTAATAAAAACATGCAAAATATGTCTGACAGTGTAATCCCTAGGAAAAAAAGAAATATTTCAGTGAAATATTTTCCTGTCAACAAATGTGGGGGATCTTAGAGAATTAAGTATGCCAGCATATTAACTAGGGAAGTCATAACCATTCTTCACTCCTAAAGGCTTGTTAAGGTCTTACTTAACCCACACCCTCAATCAGTTCATATTCATCATCCCCTGGTGGCTCTCATTACCATATCAAGCTTTGTATTCCTGTCCCTCCATTGGTGGAAAGCTGGAGGAATATTTTACTGGTCTACAAGTTTCTATGGCAACATTGTGCTGCTAGAGCTATTTGTGTCAGTATATAAACTATAAGTAGCCTGTAATCTTAAGCAGGCAAAATTCAGCCCTCTCTACTCCTGCTATAATTCCTTTACATTTGGCTGGTGCTTCAGCTGTCGTCCATCTGCTGCTGCTGTGTTAGCTTCATAAAACTACAGATTTTTGTTAAATTTACACTAACCAAAAATGCAATAAGCAGCTGTCAGCAGAAGCTCCTTTTTTCTATTAAAGATGTCAAATAAATACTACACTTTTGGCAAAAAGGGTTGTGTTACACAGGGGAAGAAAACAGTTACACAACAAGCATTTCTAGTAACACTGACATTTATTAGAATAACATTTTCTCTTACATCCTTTAATTTCCTATATTTTTACTTAGAATGGAAAGATTTTTCAGGTCATACTTTTTTAAAGTCATACTTAATTGATGATTTGTCTTTTGCTCAGGATTCTGATAGGGATGTTAAAGGAATAATGAACTAATTTCAATGGAAAATAAGTGGAAAATGGGAATTGCTTTTCTATCAGGCTTGTCAGCAATGCAATGAACATCTTTTGGAATGTCAGATATGATCTCTTTTGGCTAAAATTGTAAGCTTTATTGTCTACTGTTTCACACAAGACATAACACTGATTCTGTTAATGTAAAAAGCTATTTTTGCATTGTTCCCAAGTAAAACAGACTTAGCATCCATAATAAAACATAGGGTATATAATAATATATAGCATATCTGAAGGCATGGACAGGCAGGATACAGAAAAAGTAAAGATAGCCTTTGTTCAATAATTGTGTATTTGTCACAGGTTGTCCCCAAATCAGGTCTCTTGGTATCTTACAAACGCAGCAGCATATGAGGACTGCACTGGATACATACAGAGACATTTTTCTGATTTACTCAATGGGTCTTATATTCATTACTTATCAAGTTCTTTTTGTGTTTTATTTCCATTTCAGTTGAAATCCAAGATTCTCACTCTGTGATACCCCATTACAGAATTGTTGCAACCATTAACTGCAGGTGATTAAAAGCCTGAATATTTTAAAGAACCATGTTCTGTGGGCAATCTTGTTAAACCCCTTCAAACATCCTGAGGGTTTAGTCAATGTTTCATTAACAATTGCAGTTAGGATGCAAAAATATGTATTTCTATAAATGCTTTTATATGTGGTTCACTCGTATTCAACTGCACTGCTTCCTTGCATATGATCTGTACAGAAAGTAACAATACTTGGCACAGCGGACCACATTTACCAGTGCAGTAGAAAGGTATTGCCACCAAAAGAGGCAGCATAATTAAAAAAAATATTTCCAAGAGTTCATAAATTTGAGAAGTAATGAATTGATCTTTTATTTTGCATAGATATCTCAGAATTTATGATGGGCCAACTTGAAAAGCTTTTGAACTGATAGTAACAGGGGCTATATAAGAATGTAGAAAGAGATCCCAGCTTAGCTCTTAAAGCATTTGTAGTGAGACTGTCTACTATCACTGAATGACTATCGCTTTGTAGGGGCACATGGCATACTGTAGAAACTTTTACATAAGTATGTCTTTTTGGTATGTCATTGACAGCAGAGTTAGGTAGAAGAAAATGTTTCAGCTATGTATTTGTATGTATGTGTGTGACAGACACAATTTCTAGGGAGCAGAAACAAGGAACTGCAATATTTTTGTGACATATTTAAGCAGGCACTATATTCTTAGCTCTTTAGCATTTTATATTCTATAAAGTACAGGGCACTGAATGTACAGGATTTTCCTATGCTGTAGAGTTAGTTTACTATAATTGCTCCTACCAGATAGTAGAAAATTTAGTCAATGCTGTAAATATATTTGTATTACGCTCCTTTTTAATAATATCCCTATTTGACCCAAGATGTTTTGACAGTTTTCATTATAAAAGATCATGAAAGAATGACACATAACTTACCTTTGCTTAAACTGTTTCTTGTAACAGGGACATATTTTTCTGTGTCTATCAACATTTGACAGCTTTCAAGAGTGGCAAAATAAGATACAGAGTTTTTTCAAATTATTTAAAAAAATAAAAGTAAATTGGTATTGACTTGGAATTTTCCAAACCAATGGAATTAAACCCATTATGTCAGGTCTCCTAAATGAACATTTGTTAATAAAACTCATTGTTCTAGAGCTGCAAAGAGCACAAAACTGAGAGAACATGTAGGTACCTTTTGAGGCACTGGCCAATTCTGTGTTCCCATTATATGAAAAAGATAAATCTGGCTTATGGAGCGAGACAGGCAATCCCAAACAGCCACTAGAAACATCCTAGAGAATTACCTTATGTTGGACTAAAATTTAGATGACCAGAATTAGAAGGCATGACTCCCACACCAAGTATTCCCGTGTGACTTTTCCATTGTGATGACTTTCTCATTTGTTTTTTAGTGAGACCTTCAGGAGACCTCTAAAATGTTCTGGAGGGCACTTGTGTTGCTCAAAAAATGTTGGAAACAAGGATATTTAAACAGACCTCATGTAGGCATACATTTTTATAGTACAAATTTATACAATCATTTTTGATGACACATTTTTGTATTTCTGAGGAAGGTGCTTCCTAGTGACAGGGAACTTCTGCCTCCCAGTGCTGACAGATTCAGCATTCAGTGGAATGTTGGCTTACAGCTTTTCTGAATGTTGATATAATCGATTTGCTGTTACAGAGTTCATGTGAAGAGATCTATGCCCATTATTCCTGACTGAAAAGTTAATACAGTGTTTACAGGGTCATACATATTCTCCATGCAAAACTGAGTTAGTTGTTATCCTTTTTTCATTGATCTTTCCCACTCCGCATCCTTTTAAACACTCTGATCAACAGCTTCTTACTCTGCATTTAACTCCAAAATTGTGTGGGCTTAGCATTGCACTAGTTTTGGCACAGTATAAATTGGCTTTTACAGTTGACTGCAGACCTCTTCTGTTCTCTTATCCTTGGCTGTTATTGATGAAAGGTCTGAATGAGAGCTCCTGGCACTGATTAGTGAGCATAGCAGTGTGGAAGGAAATGTACCCTGCTTCAGAATAAATGCCACTTTTTTCTCAAAGAGCTTCTTTATTCATTTTCAGTTATACATGGAAAGTCTGACATAGGCACAGTAAAGCAGCCATTGATGGCACATCGAAATTCAGCTGGGCCCGTAATGTTTAGCTTTATTCAGTGAGAGGCCTGACACAATACAATTTAGACCAACTCTTTTAGTTGGTCAGATTTAGAAGGTCCAGTTGGCAATCAGTTGTTATGTTTTCTTCTGTTTTGACATGAGTAGGTCAGAAATGCCCTTCAGGTTTTAGCCAGATTTGCTTAGTGTGGTCTTTGCATATCCCATCATGTCAGAAGAAGACGCTGTTGATCAGAATGCTTTGTAGGAGCTCAGGTGGGAGAGATCACTGAAGAAAGGACAACAGATGCAACTGGTTTGCTATCACATTTAGAAACATTATATATATTTTATAGTATCATCCGTTAGAAATAGGGAGTCACTTCAATGGTTTTATAATCCTGCTCAGGGCTTTTAATCAGAAAACAGATGGAGATCTATTAAAAATACCATGCATGACTCTAATAGATGTGCCTCTGCATTATGATGCTGATGATGAGAGTGAGTAGGTCTGAAACCTCGAGTACCCTAGAATTTGACATGAAGTGCCCCACTGATTAAAGACAT